AAATCAGTTTTCGAAAATAATTGATTAATATCAACTACTCCAAAAATGAAGGTAAATACAATTAGAGATGTCCAAGACCGTAAATTTTCCATGACTCAAGACAAAAACTTCACCTCAAGATTAAGACTGGACCTTAAGATATTATCCTAATGCTCTTAACCCTAAAAATCCAAGAAGAGTCTTGAGTCAACATTAAAAAGGCTTGGACGACTCTAGTAAATTCTGTAAATAAATTTTAGTTGATACTGTTGGTTTTTATTCAATTGTGCTTAATATCGTTGGAATTACCCTATGTCAAGGGACGTATGTGTCTAATTTAATGAATTTCCAAAATTTAAAATTTATAGCCCCTTGGATACGTTGCGATGTTTGCGGCAACTGCCCAGTTGGATTATTTTGCGATAAACGTTATGCTCCACCAATGTGCATGTTTGGTGCACCTGGTTTCACAACAGAGACCCCTCCACCCGAAAAAAGCAAGCCAGACTTAAAGCAACGTTAAATAGCAACGTTAAATAGCCTCTTATTCAGAAAAATGTTGTTGGACTGGAACTTGCTATGGAAGCTGTTACAAATGCCCTAAAGGACTTGAATGCTATAAAGGCGAATGTTGTTACCTTCCAACGGCTGCAACTACAACCCCCGCAACTACAACTAAACCTACAATTAAACCAATGAGAAAACCACAGAAACCTACAAAAAACCAAAATAATAAATTAGACAATTAAATTGATAAAAGTTATTATAATATAATCAGCCATTGCATATAATATATGCCAAGAATAAATGTTAACAACCCTCTCTAATAATTCCCCGACAGATAATAAGGTAATTTTGAATTTTGTACCCTCCCCTCTTTCTCTTTCTTAAAGTTATAAAAATGGTCAGTCTCAGACATATACACCCCTGATATGTATATTCAAATTGTTTTTTCTTGAAGATGACGAATTTTCAAACTAGGAAACGTAAAACAAAACTGGCCTTACGTGGACTAGTTTGAAAATTCATCATCTTCAAGAAAAATAAATAATATGTATGTCTTCAATTTATGTGCTGTAATTCTCTTAATAACTTATGATCCGCAACAGTAAAAAACAAATTTTTACAAAAAATTGAAAGGAAACATTATTTTATATGCTCAAAAACATATTGAGAAATTTAAATAAAAAATATTTACAAACATTTTATCACCCTATTTGTTAAGAATTGATAATAAAATAGTTAAAACGTTTCCTATTTTTGTCTATAATTTGAATATGGACATTTAACGTGGCGTTTTTCAGTGATCAACAAAATGATTAAAATGTTGATGAAGATTTGTCATAAAGCAAACATGTAATAATGTTAAAAATAAACTTCCTCTTTAATTTTGAAGGAGGGTTGATGGGAAATTTTTGATTTAACAATGAGAGATTTTCAGACGTGTGACACGTACCTTTTAGTTTTCTGAAAAACATTTAAGGAAATAATAATAAGCCTTTAACTGTATATATAAAAGCCCATGAATTCTATCAGAAGATAACAGTCTTTAAAAATTCTTTCAAATTAAATCAGTATTTGATATAATTCATTAATAATAACTACTCCAAAAATGAAGGTAAATACTTGTTGTTTCAATTCTATATCAAATTTAAGTTGATACTGTTGGTTTTTGTTCAAATGTGCTTAATATCATTGGTATTTTCCGATGAACCGCAAAAATGTGGTGATGGCTATGATGAATGTTCACCTGGATATACGTGTGTCAATGAAGTGTGCGTCAAGGTCGTACCAACTACTCGACTACTACAAAGAAACCAACGACTACTACGCCTATAAAAAGCGAAATAATTTTTTAAATTCAAAATAACTTTCTTCTTAGTTCAGGACAATGTTGTTATAGTGGTAACGGTGGTTCAAATTGTTTCACCTGTCTTCCTTCTTACCAATGTTTCAATGGCTTATATTGTAAATATGTGCCAAAAACTACAACAATGAAGTTAACAACAACACCCAAACCACCACAGCCTTGTGATAAGTATAACCCCTGTCCCCCTGGATATGAATGTGAGAATGAGATTTGTGTTCCAATCCCTACGACTACTACAAAGAAACCAACTCCGCCCAAACCAAGCAAACCGAAAATTAATTAATTTAAATAACATTCGTTTTCAGCCGAATGTTGTTGGAGTGGAAATCTATGGAGGAACTGTTACTCTTGTCGCCGTGGATTCACATGCTACGGTGGTCAATATTGCCGCATCCGTCCAAAAGAATCACCAACAGATCCACCCACACTCAATCCACGCAAGCCAATACCTTTAAATCTAAAATAATTTTCATTTCTTCAGCACAATGTTGTTCTGAGGGAAATTTTAATGCCTGTATTGTGTGTTTCCGACCATACATATGTTACAAGGGTAAATGCTATCCAGCAACCCGACCACCAACTAAGCCACCGACCACAACACAACCAACTACAACAACGCCACCACCATCAACACTTCAACCTTGTGGTGAGAATAGAGAGTGTCCTGAAGATTTTAAATGCGACTATGGTGTCTGTGTTCAAGAAGATTATTGAAATAAATTATTAAATGAAGTGTACTTATATTAAGATAACCGAAAAACGATTTATAATTATAACTAAATACTTTATAAAATAATTGAAAAGTAAATGAATGCATAAAGTATAATGATTATTAAATTTTGATTTTTATCGAAATTATTTTGGTGAGATATTTTGAGGATATTTTGAAATTACATCAAAAGTAATAGTTACTATACATATTCTCCCCCTTCTTTGTACGAATTAACTTTTTATAATATTGTAAGGAAGACTTAAATGGCGAAATATTAAATTCCTTTACTCTAAAACAACAAAATCATATCCCCTCTTTTAATTGATCCCGCCTATTTTAATCACTTATAATAAATTGTATCCCCAGCTAGTTAGTTGAATTTCTATTTTTATTGTTATAAACATAAAATTGTATTTTAAATGTAAAATAAATATTCGTAACAGTCTGGTTTTTTGTGATTATGTTTATCTCTTTCGGCAACGAAAGAATAGTTGAGTTGATCTGATTAGCGATGAGTGCACTGGCCACGCACGAGCATCCCTCTGCCCCAACACACTTCCAACATTACTATATGAAGAGTTCATTCTTAAATGAACATGCGTGAATCTGATTATAACATCACTGGGAATAAGGAACCATCCGCATTATTTAATTGAATTGAATAATATATTCATATAATAAACAAAATCATTAATTAATCCTTAGGACCTAACTGTATTAATATTTAGATAGACTTTTTAAACAACCATTCTTAAAATCGAGAAATAGTTCATTTGGGCTATGTTATAAAAAATGTAACATAAGTGATAGATTTTTCCAATTCTAGCGTTCATACTTATGGATGTTTAGAGCTCTCTAATCCCATAAAAGATTCGGCTCTATACGCAAATCGTGCCGACTTGAAATTTTTCCCTTGCTTTTTTACAAGGTATTTTTCCCAAGTTTTTATGCTTGTGATGGTTGCCATAAGGAAAAACAATTTATAAAAAGGAAAATAAGCCTTTGACTGTATATATAAAGCCGTCGAATACTGTCAGAAGATAGCAGTCTTTAAATATAATGTCGTGAAAACGACCTATTGTATTTTTTTCCAATTGTCTTCTTTTTCTTTTAACGTGTTCTATTTTAATATATTATTCAGTTAGAACACGCCCTTTTTAAATAATTTAAAAAATATGTATATTTTTTACTTTTAGTCCGCTTTCTTTTTGTATTATTTAAATCAATAGTTTTTTTCAATTTCTTTAAGTTAGATTTAATTTTAAGATTTTTTTAAAATATTGTGTAATATTTTAATTGTTGAATAAAATTGATTTTAAAGAAATTGATTTTGAATAGAAAAGAAAAGAGTAAAAAGAGTAGAAAAATTTAAATATTGTTTATTCATTGAATAAACTAAAAAAACATAAATAAATAAATTTAAAGAAAATAGGAAAATTTGTTTATTTTTTAACATTGTTCAGCAAAAACATTTAAATTGAATTTTAATTTTAATGGTTTTGCGACATATAATTCATTAATAATAACTGGTACTTATAGGGTTTGGGTTCGCTGGAAAAAAATAATTCTATCTTTTCCTTATTCTTATGAAATGGTCAACTTTCTCCTTCCTCAATCTTATTCATTTTCCCTGTGGCATATTCAAATGATAGACATTAATAAAGAAAAGATTACTGAAATGGCAAAAATGAAAATATTGATCCTAATGTTTGATGATATTGGAGAAAAATTATTTTTCCTTTATTAATGTCTATAATTTGACACAGGGAAATAATGAGAAATTGAGGAAGGAGAAAGTTGACCATTTCATACAAATTAAGGAAAAATAGAATTATTTTTTCCAGCGGACCCAAACCCTATAAGTAACATAATAACTACCCAAAAATTAATAATAACTACGCTTTTTAATATTGAAGGAACTTCGTCCAAAACCAAGCGAACGTTTTCTCTTGCAAAATCGTTTCGCCGATTTCATTAGTTTTACCTATACCATTTTGAGCTTACAAATAAATGGGGTGATGCGTAACCTGTCTCATTTGACCCTCCCTTTTTAAAATTTCAACCCACTTCTTTCACCACTAAGAACCAAACAGATTTACATACAAACGCAACCTCAAACGTCATAGTTAACACTTTTTACATTTAAACAATACAAACAAACAAAGTAATAAAATGTTGGTGAATATAATTTGTCATAAAACAAACATGTAAATATTGTTAAGAATCAAGTTCCTCTTTAATTTTGAAGGAGGATTGATTGAAAATTTTTACATTGAAAATGAAACATTCTCAAACGTGTGACACGTAGCTTTCATTCTAATAACTATTTAGTGACAGAATAATAAGCCTTTAACTGTATATATAAAAGCCAGTGGATTCTGTCAGAAGATAAAAGTCTTTAAAAATTCTGTCAAATTAAGTCAGTCTTTAGTATAACTCTTTAATAATAACTAGCCCAAAAATGAAGGTAAATACTTTCTGCATAAATTTTAATTTACTAACAAATTAGTTGATACTGAGGGTTTGTATTCAAATGTGCTTAATCGCATTGGTATTTTCAGATGCCAAACGACGTAGAAATTTAATTTTGAAAAATTTCCAAAAATTTATTATTTAAAGCCGAACATCCGCAAAAATGTGGTGATGAGTATGATGATGAATGTCCACCTGGATACATTTGCGATTATAATGTGTACGTCAAGGTCAAACCATCTACTACGACTACTACAAAGAAGCCAACCCCGCCTAAACCAAGCAAAATAATGCTTAATAATCTAATAACATTCATTTTTCAGCACAATGTTGTTGGCCTAAAAATCAGCATAGTAACTGTTACTTCTGTTTTCTCCCATTCAATTGTTACGAGGGTAAATACTGCTATATCCCTCCAACACGACCACCAACAACAACACCCGAGCCTACACGTTGTGAGAATGATTATGGCTGTCCATCTGGATATAAGTGCGACAACAAAATTTGTGTTCCTATTCCAACGACTACAACATTAAAGCCAACCCTGCCTAAACCAAGCAAGCCAATACCTTTAAATCTAAAATAATTTTCCTTTTTTAGCCCAATGTTGTTGGATAGGAAATCGCGGGACAAGTTGTTACGGATGTGGTACTCTAGTCAAATGTTACAAGGGTCAATACTGTCAATATGTGCCTACACCAACAACACCATCAACACCAACTACAACAACTCCACCAGCAACACCTCAACCTTGTGATCAGGATGGAGATTGCCCTGAAGGATCTAAATGTGACTGTGATGTTTGTATTCCGAAATATTGTAAGAAATTGTTAAATGAAAGTGATACGTAAATATATGCCGAGATAAAAGGAAACGATTTATAATTAGAATTAAATACTTTATAAAATGATTGAAATTAAATGAATGCACAAAATATACTGATTATTAACTTTTGATTTTTATCGAAACTATTTTGGTTGACTTTTCGCTTTTCTGATTGTGAGTTCAGGATATCCTGAAATTACATGAAGAGTAATGGCACCTAGTATAAATACCCCCTTCCTTTGTACAAATTGACTTTCTATGATATAAAAAGTTCATTCTTTGTTGCAAAATGCGCGGTTCTGATTATAACTTCAACGAGCACTGGGATAATTTAATTGATTTAAGCAAAACTATTAATTAATCTTTAAGTAACTAGCCGTATTAAAGTTTAGATGATGTACAGCCGAACTATAAAATTCTCCAAACTTGTCGAATCCATGCCGCCCTGGTATGGTTCGATGCGTTTCGACATTCTGGATCGAACTATACCAGGGCCCCACGGATTCGACAATTTTTGACAAAGTTATAGTTCGGCGGTACATTGGGCTCGCGGTACATCGGGGTATACTCGAGAAAAGCTCAATTTTGCTTCGTTATCAGAAAATGCGACATAAGCGATAATTTTACCAATATATCGCATATTTTACTCTTATTTATACCACCAAATTTGAATTTAGCAACAATGGTAGTATATGCGTGAATCTCACACCTGAAGATTATTCATCGAATTTTATGATAGAGTACACTCGAAAATTAATTACAGATATCTCGAAAATTTCTTGAATATTGATATATTTTCGATATTATTAAAAATTTGTCTTATCATCATAGTGATATCGAGAATCACTTTTCTTGGATATCTTGTCTTGATTCAATCTCTATGTGATAACAATGCGGCCCGATAAACTGAGTGTGTCCCTGATATTGCCCTTAACTCAAAAAATCCCTCCAAATCCATCGATATCCACTTAATTCCTCGATTTATCTCCCAAATCCCTTTAAAAGCTTAATCCAGATTCTAATATTGCTAGATTTCACCCAAAATCTCTATATATCCATAAAACAAAAACTTTAAATGAAAAATATTCACACACATATTATCACCTTATTTGTTAATAAATGATAATAAAACCGTCAAAACGTTTCCTATTCTTTGTCTAAAATTTGAATATGGACATCTAACGTGGCGTTTTTCACGTTATAAACAAAGTGATAAAAATATAAAGCAAGCATGTCATATGTAGTGTTAAAAATAAACTTCCTCTTTAAATTTGAAGGAGGGTTGGTTGTGAAATATATTTACTTTGAGAATGAAACATTCTGAATGTGTGACACGTAGCTTTCATTCTAATAACAAATTAAAGAAATAATAAGATTTAACTGGTTATATAAAAAAGCCAGTGAATTCTGTCTTAAGACAACAGTCTTTGAAAATTCTGTCAAATTAAGTCAGTCTTTAGTATAACTCTTTAATAATAACTACTCTAAAAATGAAAGTAAATACTTTCTACTTTAATAATTCTATATCAAATTTAAGCTGATACTGTTTGTTTTTATTCAAATGTGGTTGGTATTATCTGATGCCAGCCGTATAATTTTAATTTAATAACTTCCAAAAATTTATTATTTAAAGTCGGCGGGCCACCGTGTGATTACGACACTCCTTGCCCACCTGGATATAAATGCGATTATGGTGTGTGTGTCAAGGACATACCACCTACTACGACTACTACAAAAAAGCCAACTCCGCCTAAACCAAGCAAATAAAAATTTAAATATTTAATTAACATTTATTTTCAGCACGATGTTGCTACGGATGGGATCGCCATACAAACTGTTACTATTGTCCCTTTCCATCCAGATGTTACTTGGGTAAATATTGTCGTATCCTTCCAACACCACAACCAATAACAACACTGCACCTTCAACTTGTAAGAACAATTATGAATGTCCATCTGGATATAAGTGCGATTATGAAATTTGCGTTCTTGTCCCTACAACTACAAAGAAGCCAACCCCGCCCAAACCAAGCTAAACCGTTATTTGAATAATAAAATAAATTCATTTACAGAAAAATATTGTTGTGGAGGAAATCGCTGGATAAACTGTTACTATTGTCCCTTTCCATCCAGATGTTACTTGGGTAAATATTGTCGTATCCTTCCAACACCACAACCAATAACAACACTGCACCTTCAACTTGTAAGAACAATTATGAATGTCCATCTGGATATAAGTGCGATTATGAAATTTGCGTTCTTGTCCCTACAACTACAAAGAAGCCAACCCCGCCCAAACCAAGCTAAACCGTTATTTGAATAATAAAATAAATTCATTTACAGAAAAATATTGTTGTGGAGGAAATCGCTGGATAAACTGTTACTATTGTCCCTATCCATCCACATGTTACTCGGGTAAATACTGCCGTATCCCTCCAACACCACCACAACAGACAACATCCAAACGTATATCTTGTGAGAATGATTATGAATGTCCATTTGGATATAATTGCGATTATAAAATTTGCGTTCCTGTTCCTACGACTACATTAAAGCCAACCCCACCTAAACGGAGCAAGCCAATACCTTTAAATTTAAAATAATTTTCCTCTTTTTCAGTACCATGTTGTTGGAGCGGAAATTTTCAAGGGAAATGTTACGAATGTTCCCTACCATTCACATGCTACCGGGGTCAATACTGTCTGCCTCCACCAAATCCACCTCCAACGACTACAACGCCACCACCAAAAACACTTCAACCTTGTAATAAGCATAAAAAGTGTCCCGAAGGATCTAAGTGCGAGTATGATGTCTGTATTCCGGAATATTAAAAAATTTATTAAATGATATGTACATGTATTGAGATAAATAACAAACGATTTATAATTATAGTTAAATACTTTATAAAATAATTGTTTAAATAAATGGTAGATAAATTATAATGATTATTAAATTTTGATTTATTCGAAATTTTTTGGTTCAATTTTCACTGTTTTGATTGTAAGTTAAGGATATACTAAAATTACATTAAGAGTCCATACCATCACAGATTGCGAGAAAAGGTCAGTAAATTGCGGGAAAAGGTCTCGTTATATAAACAAAAAAAGGTCTCGTCATAAAACAATAAAACAAATCTAAAAGTTACACACTTTTTATTCAAACAAATTTTATTAAAATTAGAAAAGTTCTCGAGAGAATCTTTACACAAATATAACTCTTAACTCTGAGAGAATCTAAAAAACTCTTTACTCTGAGAATTTACAAAATAAACTCTGATTATACCCTAAAATCCTAGCGTTTAAATAGAGGAAAAAATGGGAGGATCGTTTCCAAAGATTAAAAAAAATATACAAAGTGCAATGAATAAGAAAGAATTTGAAAGAAGTAGACGTATTTGATTACGCATGATTAAAAATATAGAAATTTAAAAAATAAAAATATTTCCACAAAAAAGATAAGGGAGAAAAGGGTCAAAAAATAAAAAAATAAAAAAGTCGCATTTCGCTACACTTAACAATCCATTAAATAATAATAAACAATAAATATGAAAAATATCGCAAACATATTATCACCTTATTTGTTAATAATGATAATAAAATCGTTAAAACGTCTCCTATTTTTGTCTAAAATTTGAATATGGACATTTAACGTGGCGTCTTTCAGTTATTAAAATGTGAGGGGAAGATAAGTCATAAAGCAAACATGTAATATTGTTAGAAATAAACTTCCTTTTTAATTTTGAAGGGAAGTTGATTGTGAAAAATAGTTACAATGAAAATGAAAAATTTTCAGACGTGTGACACGTAGCTTTTAATAAGAATTTAACAAAAAATAACCCTTGACTGTTTACATAAAAGCCAATGCTTTCTGACAGAAGATAACAGTCTTTAAAAACTGTCAAATTAAATCAGTATTTAAAAATAATTCATTAATAATAATTTACTACAAAAATGAAGGCAAATATTAATTTCTTTAATTATAATTTTATATCAAATTTAAGTTGATACTGTTGGTTTTTGTTCAAATGTGCTTAATCACGTTGGTATTTTCCGATGACCCGCAAAAATGTGGTGATGGCTATGAGAAATGTCCACCTGGATATGAGTGTGATTATGATAAGTGTGTCAAAGTCGTAACACCTACTACGACTACAAAGAAGCCAGCGCCGCCCGAACAAAGCAAACCCTATATTTGAATATTTAAATAACATTCGTTTTCAGGACAATGTTGTTGGTGGGGAAATACCTTTAGAAACTGTTACAGTTGTGATCCACCATACGAATGCATCAAGGGCTTTTACTGTCTTGAGCCTACACCTTGCAAGAATAATTCTGAATGCCCATCTGGATATAAGTGTGAGAATAAAGTTTGCTTCCGTATACCAAGTAGACCAATACTTGATAATTTAAAATAAATATTTCATTCAGCTGAATGTTGTTGGAGATTAAATCGCTGGAAAAACTGTTA